ATAGTGCCTGGAAGATAATTGTTAAATTGTCAGCTGTGACAAGACGCTAACTAACCAAAATGTTATCTCCTTTTAAATCAAATTAAAGCAATCAAGCATGTACAATGTAATTAAGTGTTCCAATCGCAAGCTTGAATTTGAAAAGCAATTGTGCAACTGAATAGATGCCACGTTAAAATACTTGTGAGAAATGAGACAGTTGGATAAAGATTCTGTCCAGAGTGAGTTTGAACTTAAAGTGTTCATTCATCTTTTTAGTAGCAATACTAAATCATTCGTTCATGACTTGCTTCAAGTTTGTTAAGCAAATCATAGTTAAAGCAAATAAGTTGTTTGTACAAAACTATAAACATCGAAGTAGAAGAAAATCGTTCAGGGATTGTTTGATGTTTCCCAGATGGCTAATTTCAATGTCGTATCAAAACAATCAAAGTTCTGCAACACTTTATAACACGAACCATGTGACAAGGCAAAACAAGCGTCGCTGTAGCAGAATCCTGTCTGGAAGTAAGACGCGTTCTGAGATTAATTGAGATGCACAATGTCACTAAGGCAACGTTAGACATTTATCTTGTATCTCGTCAGTTATTTTTAAGCTGACACTATCAACTTAATTCAAAATTTGGCAACCATTAAAGATATCATTCAGTAACATTTGAAAAAAAAAAGAAATAAAATGATTTTAATGTGTCATGTCGAGTCCAATTTTATAAAATATATTTACCTTTTTTAAGTTGCATTACAGTTTTGATTTGTGATAACTTGCATTTCATTTCCTCAATAAAGTCCAAAATAAAACACTGATAATTCTATGGAAAACATTAGGATATCCTGTACATGTTTGTGGAGTTTCTTAAAATTCGTTCTCGCAAATGTGACTTTTTGTATTGAATAAATGATATTAGGCAACTCCTTTTGCAAGTTTTAATGTTTGACAAACAAATAAATAGTTTCAGAAACAACAAATATTCTTTATGAACCAATGCCTGAAAAAATGATTGCCAACTCAAACTTTGAGAATACGTCTACTCATATCATTATAACCATCTATCTGTCTAGCTGTTCAACAATTTATTTTAATATAATATCGTTTACCTCGACTGCTGCCAAGAGCGTCCTTACATTTTGAATAAAACAAATGTATATAAAATATACTGGTGGATTTATATTAAAGAATATTTTTAGAACTATGTTAAAGCAAACAAAAATATTTATACGCAATTTAAAATATTTTGATAAGTTAATTTAATACCAGTTTTTCATACCTGATTTAAAACATTTTTGTTTTGCAGCTAATTTTTAGTTAGTATGCAAAGGTTCGTTTTCTAGAACTAGACTGTCCCCGAGCTTATGTTGAGACACAGCCACTTTTACCAATGGGATAGCACTTCCTTTCTTTCTTCTTAAGATTAGCACGTTTTGAATATATAGATTAAGCTATTGCTAGGTCTGTGAATGTATATATTAATAAACCAATTCGTTACATCAGTTGGGTTACAAAGGATGACACGAATGTTGATCATATACATATATTAGAAAACAAACAAAGCAAAGTTTCCATCAAACACGTCTAGATCTGCTTATGTTTTGTGTGACACTACAAAATATCTCCACATTTATAATAATGGAACAAGATTCCTGGTACATTTTCGACAACTAAGTAAGCTAAATATTGTTTAGGTTTTACATCATGGCCTTTGCTATATCCATTGGAAAATATCTATTCTCTGAACACAATGGTAAATGTATATTGTGGCAAATGATGGACATTAACGCCGGTCAGTAACAGAAAGCAGACGACACTGGTCGACATCAGACTATCCTCACATTAATTCAGATAGAAAGGATTGATCCATAACAAATGCATCGTGATTGAACCGGATTTTTAATCAAGCCTAAGCTTTTACTAAAATGTTTTATGCAGACAAGTCTTCCACTTAGCAGATAGAAATTACTTGCAAATACGTTTTTTTTTCTAATTTATTCACTGTATCTTTTTACATTGATATTCAAGTCACATGTAGATCAAAACATTTAATACTGTTAAGTATAGAAATGAAGATATTAAATCATCAAATTTGCCAATGTTATTAAATTATATTAGACATTACGACAGAGAGTGATTCATTTGTCTTTGTGAGCAGAATATATAAGCCAATGGTTGGTCAGACTACATGGATGTGAAAGCTGGTCTGGCTTTAAATTTGCACTTAAGGCTTGCGCTTTCGGTTCCAGCAGGCTTAGGGTAAATGTGTATGGTGAAACCCGTGTTGCGATATATTGTGCTACAGACAACCCTTATTGTGATATACTGAAGTGTTGGCTGGCCTAGCTCTATGCCAGTGGTAAAAGCTAATCATTTTCAGTTATAGCAAGTATCCAACCACTGTCAAAACTGAACTTTCGGTCATTTTCTAAATAAAAATATTCGTAGAAAACAGTTGTTGACAAACCATTTACCACGTTAAAAAAACTTCAAAGGACGTGCCCATCATTCAATTTGGAAAAAAAGTTATCCTTTCAATAAAAATTTCAAAATTTATGCTGACTCAATAGATGTGCCGGCTGATCTTTGTCTGGAAAATTTAATTGTCACATACTTTGAACTTACGGTACACCTGAAAAAATCCCCTTCAGTAAAAAGTGGTAATTAAGTAAGTTCATTCTTGTTTTTAATTGATTTTTTGCAATATATTGACATTAAAAACCGATACAGAAAATGAAAATTTTGAAATTGAATATTTCACAAAAGAAAAATATACAGAAAACGTATACAGTAACTACACAAAGGTGTCATACGACTACTTCTGGATCACTCTAACAATCATTTCCTTATACAGAGAAAAGATTAGTTTTTCTTACAAAAAATCATTTCATTCTTGTTGTATCTTCGCTTTGTTGAAGTTGGAAGTTTAAACATATTTTATTACTCAGGATATATGTAACCTGTTACAGTTTACGCTATTTAAGAAGCATTACAAATATTCTTTCAAAACAGGATTAGAATGGAAGACAAAGTCTTATAAAATACCATTCTTTCAACTTGTTAGAGCTGTAAATGATCTTTGAAGCATCAGCAATAAAATGTTTATTTGAGAGTTTTATAAACCACTTTATTGAACAGTGCAAAATATAGTTGTAAAGTATTAAATTCTGGTGCGTGTAGCTTTAAGTATTACATGTGTAACAAATGATTCCTAGTTATCCAATTACGTATAGTTTATTATATAATAAAACTGTAATTTAATGTTTGAATATATTCCCAGAGAGATATTTACTATGAACTATTAACTATGTAGTAAAATTAAAATGTTCTGTCAATTGTTTAAATCATACGTTTAACATGTTAGAAGAAAACTTCTAATTTCTGAATATGTTAAGTGTTTTTCGAAAATGTGTGGAATGAATTCAGAGAAAAAATAATATCCTACAAAAAATCTAATGACTGCTAGGTATTGTTATTTCCAATGCAATTTATGACGTGTAATTGTGTAAGGGACACAAAGTTGTTAAAACGGAAGACGATAATTAGATTGTTTTGTTTGAAAACATGCACTACATTTCGGAAGTTCTTGAATCTGATTGCGTTTTATTGTCAAATATCGAAATGAAACCGAACTTGATTAATCTGAATTTTGGCGAGAAATTACTGTCAATTAGCTAGCGAAGGCAAGTAATATTAGTAATTTAACACATGTGAACACTCCCGTGCGGAAATGTAATCATTTAATTGGATTAAGTTTTAATTGGTAATAAAGCTGATTACTGCACGACTTCCTGAAATGGTAATAAGCAGGTTTGAAGAACATTGCCAACTCCCGCTCTTAGTTTCATAATACTCGTATAACATGATTGTAACTCATGTGTCATAATTTGAAAAATGTCCTCGAGAATTTCAATATCATCTCAACTAATGTATTATAATGTGTCATGTTCGACAAAATGTTGAAAAATAAAGTACATATTCTCCTCCACTGATGGAAAGTTAGTCATGAAAGACATAATTAAAACTACAGTTATATGGACAGTTTTTGATTTTTAAAAATACTTAGCTCAATTCACCAACTGACAGACATTTTCGGGGTAATTTTCTATTATATATAAAAGACAAAGTATGAAAATCAGCAGAAAAAGAAAACAAACGCTTCATGTGAAATGTAAATTTTCTTTACGTTTTTGAAGAACATATCATTATAGCAATACTTAAATACTTGTGAGAGATTTCTTACATGCGTAATATATTGGTAATGTTCTCACAAGGCGAAAGGGGGAGATAATACATGTTTTGTGAAAAACCTCTCTACAAATATCTTACAATCAGGGAGAATACAAGATGAAAAGAAAATGCAGCTTCCTAAACGTTAGATAACCATATATTCCATTAACGCGTAGAGATCATACATGTTCATTCAATGGTGAAAGAAATTGATTTTAACCATGATTTCCTAAAAATAAATTACACGTAAATGAATGTTCGTTATCATGATCACGTTCACCAAAGGTAGAAATGTCATATTTGTATTCTTATCAATAAAAAAACGCCATCATAATTGTTATCAAAGTTAGTATGGACAATTTAAAATTACGGATAAAACACAATCTGTGTAATTTATATTAAAGCGATAGTGAAATTCAAGGTCATATGCTACTGTCAATTTGTGGCATCAGTAGTGTGGCATGGATATAAATTTTCTATACACTGCATCGGCATATATTACTACATGTATGAAAAAAAAAAATATATAAATTCGTATTTGAGCAAAGAGCAGAAATACATGTATGTAATATGAATAGAAAATTCAAAAGAATATAAAAGCGCATCGTGATGGTTTCCCTTGAATTTGATCAGAGAATAATTCAGACATTGAACATTTGCATATGTTGCTGTCTTTGGTCTAATAATTCAGCTCGTTAAAGAACATACTGCATTATAGCTTTAAATGAATGCTAAAATGTGGAGGAATCAACCAACAGCTTTGAATGAAAAAAATGTTTCTTACCTCTAACAATGACCAGATATACGGCAGTACACTATCATCACATTTTTTACATTTCTAAAACCATCGTTCCATCTATCTGAAATATAAGAAAATAAAACCGGGATAAGTGATAGAAATTTAAGATACTTTGAAGAGTTGTAACTAAATAAGTTTGAATATGAATTTTAAAGATTCATTATCACGGCAATACTGACACTATACTTGACATGAATAAGCTCAATCAAACCGAGCTGCAACATTTGTAATAAGTAAGAGCTAGCTTATGCGTATACATATTCAAATTGGCATGAATAACCGACACTTTCATGATATAAAACTGTACTTTTTTGTATGTAATGGACACGAATGACGGTTCAGAATTTTACACTGATATACACAAAGAATTAATTACATGACGCTATACATACTTGTATGGAATATTTCCAAAATTCGCTTTTTTATGAAAGGACCCCCTCTTATAGCAATATATTTGCTAAAGTTTTAACATGTCTAAGTAAGTATGTCTTATAGCTTTTCATCTTAATTCCCTCGAATCAATGAGCCTGTAGTAAATATAGCATATTTTAGCACGTTACTTGTACATGTGAAACACTCATTATTGTTGCAAATTGAAATTCATATGTTGCCTAAAATTATTCCATTATATGTGTTCACATCAAAATATTCAATTGAAATACTCTATCATGTCTTGAACCAATTCATTCTGTAGCATAGGGATTTACAATATTAGAAAAGCTGAGATAAAATAAGTATTATATTCATCCTGGGCGAAATTGTATTTATTTAGTTCATTTCCTTCGATCATGTAAATCATTTCTGTAGACTAGAATTAAGAACTTTATATTCACTGTCCATAAAATTGAACCAAATTCGTGTTTGATTTCTTATGGGAATAAAGCAGTATCGATTGTACCACGAGATGGTACTTCAAAACTAGCACTTATCTGCCATTCTAAGGGAAGTAGTCGTTTATATGCTTAGTTTGGCGACTACATAATTGTTTTTCGATATATTTTCTGGAATCGTGACTTAAATTAAAAAGAAATCTTGATACATATTTTAAACAGCATAAAATTTATACGTATTTAGATTTAGAAGTTTCCGATGCATAAAAAAGTTCCCGTATAGTTTGATTTGTAATGATTTTTTTTGTTGAAACGAAAATATGACTTTATCCAACCAATGCCAAGAAATAAAAAGGACGTAACAGATAATGGGAAAATCATCAAGAAAAATAGGAGGATGATCATAGGAACCTGGTGTTTCTCTATTATATTTCGGGCCCGTTTAAACATTTAACCATTAACAGTAAAATTACAGAACAAAGAAGTAAGAAATATTATAGGAAACTTTTCAAATAACATTACTGAGAAAGTTTCGTTATGATTAATCTCAGTTGTGAATTCCAGCACAATAGCCTGTAGATAAATGTTAAGATCTTTTACACGAACATACATCATTAGTTTCAAAATCTGCTCTATTTTGCTTAAACGTATTTTGTAAATTTCATTAATCTGACAATTTCTAGCTTTTGTCTAATTGCTGTTAGAAGAACAGTACTGCACAAGACGTGATAGTGAGATGTATATTTAAGACTGAATGCCTATATGGAGATAGTTCTGAAGAAAGATCAATATATGTTATCACAAGGGGAATGATTTAGTTCCGAATACTGCTACCGGCCTAGACTAGAGGTTTCTCGTAATATCAAGAAGATTACGAACATTTTCATGTAGACGTTGTTCAAAATGTTTTGAAAACTGTATTTTCTAGGAGAAATGAGAAAAAGAAAACAACATAATAGCAAGTGCACTCTATAGCCCTTCTCTAATGTAAAACTTATACCTGACAGTCACAGATTCAAAGCACAATATTTCACTACGATAACGATCATTTCAAATTAAAATGTTTACTTTTCTGGAAAAATGAGTTTTATGTCTATTGTTCTAGAAAACAGTTTATTTGCAAATCTCTTTAATAACAAAACATGGACCTTGAGTATTTGTTGAAAAAAAATATCAAATTTTCAAGAAAATGTCTCATAGATACTGAGTTGCAAAGGAAAGTGTGCACTTGGCTACATGGAAATGTTGGATACTTATTAAGCAAAATACTGGCATATTTGATATCAAAATTTGCAGAGATGCATTGACTATGACTGATATTTAATTGATATATGATTAAACAAAACTTTGGGTATGTGTAAAAAATGAGGAATGAAAAATAAAAAATACATAATTTTTCTTTTTGTAATTGCCTCATGTGCGTTTGAATACTAAGCATTTTGAAAATATATTTTTTAAGTACATATGTCGTTACGTTAGGTCCATTTAGTCTCAAACACTTTGTTGGTGCAAGGATAAAATGTACATAGCAAATACTGATAATTTACACGCGCCAAACAAGGCAAGAAAGCGTTAAAATCATAATTTTACACATTTCTCATTTCAAACTTCCGATATTTATACGAACCTAAAATAAGATAATTATCTTATATCAATACCAATCAAACCATTGTATGGTCAATACATTCTTGCAAATTCTGATCAAACCATTGTATGGTCAATACATTCTTGCAAATTCTGATCAAACCATTGTATGGTCAATACATTCTTGCAAATTCTGATCAAACCATTGTATGGTCAATACATTCTTGCAAATTCTGATCAAACCATTGTATGGTCAATACATTCTTGCAAGTTCTGATCAAACCATTGTATGGTCAATACATTCTTGCAAATTCTGATCAAACCATTGTATGGTCAATACATTCTTGCAAATTCTGATCAAACCATTGTATGGTCAATACATTCTTGCAAATTCTGATAACAACTTTGCTAATGTCGTGCTCATGTATGTATACATACAAAAAATTTTCAGACTGAAAACCCTGCGATACATAATCATCTCCCTTTTTCTCACAAAAAAGTATTCAATTCATAAAGAAATTTTAAATTTTTATGCTTAATTACTCATTGTCAGTAAACGAAATCTCCAGGTAAACTCTTTCAAAAGTTTAACTTTCTTCTTATTTAAATTATTTTCATACATCTTCACATGACATGACTCTTTAGTTTGATATTGCATCATTGTCTACATGTTAATTACCAGTATATTGTTTGAAACTTCATTTTGTGTCATATTGCCCTGTACAGTATATGAGCCATACATAAATAAACGTATATGTTGTTGTTTTTGAAAATAGACCGTCAGAAAACAATAATCATAAATTATTATAGAAACACATGTATGGCCAAAATTAACGTTTATTTCAAAAAGTTATCATTGAAACAAAGGTGATTTATTAAAATTTTCATCATTATTAAAATTTTCAATAATTATCTTAACTATAACCTATAATAGGACTTGTTTTTATTCAGATATTCTCTGTTATCAAAACATCAAAACAAAGATCATAAACATAAATTAAAAATAAAACAAAACCATTCCTTTCTAAATTCAGAATAATGAGACCTTTTGTTGCCCTCATTGAAACTTTTTTCTGACAACGTCATTTGAATGAATCGTATATAAAGTAGGGATAAACAAGGTTAGCTTTTAAAAAAGCTAGTAGCGACTCGCTTCGTAATTTTTTTCCAGGGGTGCGTTTAAATGTAAAAATGACAGTTCTGTTAGCTGAAGAGACTTCAGCGAACATCAAAATAAAAGTGACATAAAGTTATGGAAGCCAGTTCTCTCAGTTTAAGAAAGAGGAATATGAGTATATATGAAGATGCATGTAAACAGATATAATGAAGTCCCTATGTCTATGCACATTTACTGTATGGCCTGTTGACCTTGACCAAATAAATGTTAGATAGGTAGAATTCATAAAGATGTCTCTTTATACGAAGTTAAGTCGTAATATGTTATTTAGTATTGGAATGAGTGACAGACATAAGTCCTAAAGTAAACACAAGTTGTCTATCAATTCAGCCAGAAAAGCCGGGATCCTATTAAAAATATAGGAACCCCGGAAATTGACCAGTCTAAGATGTTTTTCAGATAAGCCGGGATCCTATTAAAACATATAGGGATTCCGGGAATTGACCAGTTCAAGAATTTAGTTTTCAGAAAAGCCGGGATCGTATTAAAATATAGAGAGATCCCAGGAATTGGCCAGTTCAAGAATATAGTTTTCAGAAAAGCTGGGATCGCATTAAAACATAAAGGGGTCCCAGGATTTGACCAATTCAAGAATGTAGTCTTTGATTTTTCCAATTAATTAGGCATATAATTATAAGTATTGTGATTTCCGCATTTTAAGTTTATTAATAAATAGCTCTAAATATATTTATATCCTAAGTTTAATTAATTTAACGTTTATTACATACAATAAAAAAACTTAATGTTTAATGGCCTTTCATTACGACAATAATCAACACAAATATAGTTTATTAGTTTTCCCTCTATATCTTATACGATCCCGGATCCCGGCCAATCCGGGGCGTCCCGGATCCCGGCCAGTAAATGTATACACTTAATACCGGAAAGGATTAAATGACCGGAAAAAAGGAAAAAGAAAAAAATGCACAGAACCAGATGTACACATATGTTTATTAACCAAACGAAAACTTACTACAGAGGAACAGGTGAAATGGCGAAATCAAAAGTCAGTGTAAATATTATTTATTGAAAACAAACATTTTAATCATCATTATATCTTTGCGCTCAAAATAATACTTGCTGCTTTTTAAAAATGGCGTGAAAATTGAAGGTTTTTTGACGCTATGTAAGATTAAATTTGATTGGCTAAATAATTTTGGATCCTAGCCCTGATAGATAAATTTTGTGGAAAGCTGGAAGCCAAGCTTCGATTAAATTTTTGGATGGATTCGGAGTTTTAGGTTGTTTCTCAGTAAAATCCTAACGTAATACCGGCTCGCCGTGGCGAGCCGGCAACATAATACTATTGTGTTGTCATACTGTACGTGCGAGGAATATGATTGATCTTTACGGTGTCCATGTGGCTCAAAGTCAAACAAATAATATAGTATAACGAAGGAAAGAATGTAGAACTACACTTCAGAAACACCAGAGTAGGTTTCATTTTATAGTTAGTGACAAGCCTGTCCG